TTTGAATTCGTTTGCAGCACCCCCTACCCCCTCCCCCCAAATAAAACACCCGACCCATTCCACACCAAGTCTAATATTATTCTTTTTTAAATGTACGGGGTACAATGTCTCCAGCCGCTGCTATTTTTTATATATTTCTTTACTATTAATTAGTGCAAAACATGCCAGGGAACTGCGCTCCGCTTCAAAGCAACCTTCATATGCGAAATCGATTGAAAGCTTGTCCGATCCCCCACTTCTTCCCCCCTCCCCGATTTTAGGAAGCAAGTTCGTCGCGTGCAACATTACAACTGAAAGGCCACTTGGTCTCCCATGCATTTGATAGATCGGTCTCATCGGTTTGGCTACGGGACCCTCTTGTCCTTCACTGGATTCATATGAGTACTGGAATGGCTAAAATTGGCAAGAATGCAATGTGTGAGATTGAAACGACGTGAATACAATAATCAATAAAACGTGTAGTCAAAAAGGCACAAGTTACAGGCTTACAAGCTTTCCCTCCAGTAAGTTAATTAATGTAGCAGTCTATGTCGATGTTATCACGATACTGTTAATCATTTAGCTCGAGTTATTTTAGAGACTGGGGACTCGCGAAGCAGACCGATGTATAAGATCTATCAAAAATATGCAATTGTAGCTTAAAAGAAAGATTATATTTACACTGTAGCAACTAACAGTTGAAAAATTCCATTACATCGATCATGATCATCAGGGCGTCAAATTGACAGCCCACGTTGTAGCACATGCCAACTTCATTGCTTTGCGATCATGAAGACACGAATAAATAACAAGCTTCCTTTACTTACATTTGTTTCGTCTTTATTTTTCTATTCCTGATGATACATATATGTAGCTTCAAGCCTCCTCAAAAAGTTTGAAAATCTTAGACCCGGAATCTCATTTTCAATTCTGTTCATCTTGCAGGAGCGAATACAGGAGAGGGGTTGCGGAATGGGTGGCTAGTCACTCCCCTTTTGGAGAAGCTTAACAAAAAAAAATATCAAAGGTTGTGAATTTTATGGCAGAAATAATGGCAAACTCTCTGGACAGGTGCCTCATTGTAATTTCTACCTTGTGGCATTGCTAGTATTTTCGAGCAGGTTCCAATTCTCAAATTGCAAATTTTAGGAACATGCCCACTTGATTTTGCGGTCGCAAGGTACCAGCCACCCCCTCTCCTTCCTAGAAAAATCCTGGATTCGCCCCTGACTTGGCCTCACTGTTTTGACAACAAAACCTTAAACCTTAACCTAACTTCGCATTTGCAAGTTCATTAGTATAGCTAGGAGAAAGATGGATGGGATTCATACTCATTTACTGTGCGCTTTTGCTTGAAGTAAGTTTTGTGAGACCATGTAGGCTATAAGTAACATATCAAAAACGAATATATCAAAAACGAGACGTACCCTTTCATCACACTTCCAAATGCACAAAAGGAGTTGCGAGTTTTCGTTCAAATTTAAAATAACGGTTACTGAGCATGCATAGTGAGAGTAACCTCTGTGACTAATGCTGGTATATCTATCGATTTAAGTCTAATTGAAGTTTCCATTCTTTGTGTTTCCATTCTTTGTGTTCAGCAAATTAAAGCATCATGGACTGTAACAAGATCGAAAATGTTGGCCTGGCATTGACTAATAACATTTAATGTTTAGAAAATAACTCGCCTTGGATAGTCACGGTTACAATTGCAGATAATCTTCCGTAGTGCCCGTCGAAATTTCACCGTTCGCAGCGAATAAGCGATCGGGTCGAGCAGCGGATGCAGCAAGATAAAAGCCTCTGATATGGCCCGATATTTGTAACGAACGTAAGAGCTTCCAAAGAATTCACTTATGTTTTCCAACACAATTGATGGAGTCCAGCACACAGCACACAACCCAACCAGTATGAACACAGAAAACGCCACTTTCCTCTCTTTTCGTTTTAGCTTTTCTCTCACTTGAGCACTTCTTGTGAGACTTAAACGCTCTTCACGCCCAGCTCCAGTTGTTAAATCTCGATACAAACCCTTTCTTACCAGAACTAAGATTCTCGCGTAACAGGCGAATGATAAGATGACTATTGGGAAGATGAAAGCATCAACAATGAACACTCTGTATCTGTGGAATGAATCCCATCCAAGCACGGGAGATAATGCTAACAGCCCAGCGAAAAGCCAGATGCAGAAAATTCCACGCGTCAGGTAAGCGTGCGTTAAGTAATTCACGCTCTTCAACGGAGATGAAATTACAATCAGTCGTTCAACTGCGAGGCCTAAAATTGTCAGAAATGAAGCGTAAAAGCCAAGATAAGCAGTTGTGTACGCTGCTTGGGTAATGCTTTTGTGGGGGAACCAATGAAGGAGAGCGAAAAGTAACTCGCCAGGAAAACCGACCAAAAAGTCACAAACGGCGAGGTTTAATATGAGGTAGTTTGCGGTTCCTTTAAGGTTTTTGAACGGATCTTTCCAAATTGTTATTATTACCAAGGAGTTTCCAACCGCGGTCAGTGCAGAGAGCGACAAGAAGACTGTTGCATCAGTAAAAGGAACTGAGTCTGGAAATAAAAGAACGAGTTTGAGTCCCTGATTTTAGTAAAAACAGACCCCCGGGGGGGTCTTTAATATTAAAAGGATGGGGGTGCTTGTCGTACCTTTCAGGCGTTAAAAACGCGGTTTTGGTTCCTCTCAGGGTGTTCAGCCTCAAAAGGTTCACAGTGAGAGGTTTCGCGGTACCTTTTAGGCTACTGAGCTGAAAAATATAGGGGTGAAAAACTTTTCAAGACACGCCCACAAAACAGCAACTTGGTACCTCTCAGGGCTTTTTAGGGGTGCCTCTTCTTTTTATATGAGAGTTTACCCTCCCCCCCCGGAAAACAGACCTCTTTCTTCTTAGGCTCGATTACCAGCCGCTGTTTTGGGAAATGAGCCCGCGCCCTCGGAACGCGGCCGGACCAGAGTGAGTGGCAGAAATCGAGCCTACTTTCAGCTCTTCGCTCGGGACTCAAAATAACAACTGATGTTGGCATAATTTTGCAAGAGACTCTGACTAATTACGAAAGCTATAAAAGAAACTCGATTAATCCACTACTCCCTGGAGCCAACGCACCGTTTAAAATGCGTTAAGTCCTGGCTTCGGCAAGCGTTAAATCAGGGGTTGGGGGGCAGGGATGTCAATTGACTGATGCNGTTGCATCAGTAGAAGGAACTGAGTCTGGAAGTAAAAGAATGAGTTTGAGTCCCTGATTTTAGTAAAAACAGACCCCCGGGGGGGACTTCAATATTAAAAGGATGGGCGTGCTTTTCGTACCTTTCAGGGGTTAAAAAGGCGGTTTTGGTACCTCTTAGGGTGTTCAGCCTCAAAAGGTTCACAGTGAGAGTTTTGGCGGTACATTTTAGGGTATTGAGCCGAAAAATATAGGGGTGAAAAACATTTCAAGCCACGCCCACAAAACAGCGACTTGGTACCTCTTAGGGTTTTTTGGCAGGAATCGAGCCTACTTTCAGCTCTTCGCTCGGGACTCAAAATAACAACTGATGTTGCCATAATTTTGCAAGAGACTCTGACTAAATACGAAAGCTATAAAAGAAACTCGATTAATCCACTACTCCCTGGAGCCAACGCGCCGTTCAAAGTGCGTTAAGTCCTGGCTTCGGCCAGCGTTAAATCAGGGGTTGCGGGGCAGGGATGTCAATTGACTGATGCATAACTAATTGCGTGAGTACAAAGTTCGTCCCAGAACAAAACAGTAAGGCTGTTGTCACGCTA